GAGTTTAGTCGATCACCAGTTTGGAATTTTGACGGTGTCCGCATTGTTAGTTAATGATCAACCATGTGACGATGACACCCGGATATATATAGTGAGCTAACAGCATGAAGTAAATAGCAAGGTATCTTTTCCTGCTCATACTGTCTTGTTAATTGTTACGCTCATCCGATCGCAATGTTTTCGTCCCAAGCTCCAGTTATTCATAGTGGACTGCAATTGAGCAATTCTATCTTTGTATGAAGTAAGAAGTTCTCTTACCCAATCAGTCACAAAAGAAAACTTGATACGTATGTCAACGAAATATGAACGAACGAAAAGCACTTATAGATGCCTTCTAAAGTTGATGCATTTGTGATATCATGGCGTTACTTTTCCTGCTGATTGGCTGCTAGATTAGGGCTCTGCAGTGTAGAGTTTTGAAGTTCAAAAAACGACAACTAGGCCGGGATGGCTTATTTTGTGATAAACTCTGAAAACGACGACTGATATAAGGGATGAATCTTTATTAACAAATTGTGAGACATAGGGTGTGCATGGGGTTTATTCTCTTTGAATTTCACATCACATTTTAACAATGCACTTACAAATGCACATTTCCGTTGAACTCACCGTTGAGAAGATACATGAGCATATCTTTTTTGATAAACAGTGCTCACCTGTTGTGAATAGTGAACACTGAAGAAACAACCGTAACATTTTTCTGAGTTTTCCTTCCTGATTCATTTGTTCTCTATGTACACAACGAAACGTGGATAGATAAAACGGAACTACATCCTCTGCGTCAAAACGTAGGAACGTGAACTGGTTTTGTTGGTTAACTGATGCAAACTCCCACAAGTCATGGATAACGAAATCGAACCGGGATCAGTATTCAGCCCCCTCAATGCATAGTGATTTGTTTTCGCGGAGAGAACGTATGATCACAGAACTAATGACAACACATTGCATGCATTATTTAACCGGGTAAAAACTTGAAAGGAATCGTTTTCTAATTCCACCCGGGTGTTGCTTATTCGGTTTCTTCTCATTTGGCTTGTGAAGTGTTGTATGAGCAGCGGTCTATGCGCACAGATTATTTGTCTCTGTATGGGATTATCGGGCCAATAAAGAGTACACTCAAATGCTTGTAAGATAGCCAGATAATGCAGCAAAGTCACAGATGGTCTCAGTTTTTAGACGCTAAACGAGCCTTTTGAACGAGTGATAATGCTTGTTCCCAGAGTCATCCGTCAGGGGAATTGTGGTTACTCAATATGTCAGTTTCCTATTGGAGTCTGATTTTGCATAGAACCGTTCCTATCCTGTAACAAAATTGTGCAAAATACAGGCCAGACGCAGTGATCCTATCATTATTCGGACTACCCAGAAGAGTCACTGAGCCCTACGATTTCCTGGGTATACTCCAAACGGTACCCCTTGCCGTTTGCGATCCATCTGATACCACCACAGTAAACCAGGGCTATTTGGAATACGTTTCCGTCAAAAAGCTAGAAAAGGAAGGGGAATGAAGACAACTAAGGCAAACATAAAGTTTGGTGAAACCAAGCCCGGTTGTCTAACTGGCTTCTACACGACACACATAAAAGAGATGTATTTCTCCGCGCAGCATTCAAGTGATAGTCAAGCGGTTTAAGTCACCGTCGCCGGCGTGATTTAGTCCCTCAGGGTTCCAAGTTCAAACTCCACTACCAACATACAAATTTGATGGTAGAAGGCTCCGCCGTTGTTCAACTCTTATGTGGTTAGTCACTCTAAGTTACAAGGCTTAGGTTGGCAGATCCTATGAGTAAACAGCAGGTCCTTGGGGCGACGGGATTAATTCTCCTTGTTCATCACATAATAGTCTATGATAAAAAGAGCGTCAAGTCGGTCAGATCGAAAGCCGATTTCATTTGGATTCTAGGTAACACATATATATATATATATATAAATATCATATCTTCCGAAAGTACCTTTGCGCTTCACTTCTTCGAGGTTTTAAGAATAACATCCAATGCGCGTTTGTGATTGTTCTAAACAACTACATTGGAAGGTTTATTTTTAATGGTCGTCTGTTTGCATGACTGAAGTCACTTGCATGGAATCGCACTTTTTTGATGCACTCTTTATCAGTAATTCCTTGTTTTCTTTATGATAGTAAAATGTGCTGTCGTGTAATCCTAAGTTCTCCTAAATAATTCCTTGCGATGCTGCGTACGGACAAAATCGATCGCAGTTAGTTGTTACGTTGCGCTTTTGTTTGAATCGTTGCTACATCCACGACGTATGGCATTCACAAGGGAATTCTTTGGTGTGTACAGTGCATTTTGATTTACAAAGTCATGAATTAAATACCAACTGGAAAACTGCTGACTGAGTTCCAATAGACCGAGTACCGCTTGTCGCTTCAATCAAGAAGTTGGCTGTTCTCATGTCAGTGAAATACTGTTTATCCATTCCTTGGTTCAGCGTACTAGATACGGTAATCTCTGATACAACTTCTTAAATAGGAGTTATGCATTGCATTTCAAGGTAATTTGACAATATACATGCCCCTGGTTTAGAGAGAACTCGAGTCACTGAACTGGATCGGGCTGACTGTAATTGTGTCAAAACGATTTACAGGGCCAACGTATGAAATAAAGATTATTGAAACATTGAACCTGTGAATACTGTTGAGGTCGATAGTGAGACCGACCAGTCACGTACTATCCGATGCGAGCAGGTCAGGGCGGGATTTGAATTCTCATCACAACTATTTTAAAAGCTGAAAAATTGGTGTATTCTTTTTAATTGATCTGTTGTCTAACGCTCGATTATACCACTGAACAAAATTTGGTGGGTGATTTGTAAGAATATATTATTGATTGGAAAGGTTATATTTCTTTTGAGTATTTAACTAGGCACACTGATAATATTTCTTCTATCGATCACTGAGCCCCTGACCTATTCTGTCTGTCGATCTTTTTATCAACTTACAGCCATGACTACCTCCGCTTAGATTATCTTAAGTGGAATGGAGGTAGCCTTTGTCACCAGTCTTTCATTTTAGTCATAAGCCGAGAATTTAGAGAAACATTTATGCTCACCCACATTCAAGGAACAGGAATGTTATCAACTGTTCTGCTTTTCTCGCATAAGCAAATGACCTAACAGTACGTGGTTTGTACTTTTAATCGGGATGTTTATGCTTGACCTGATTACGAAGCATGATGGCAAGCTCGTCAAATGACATTTACGGTCAGGAGGATTTGAACGGCCACTTGTGTAGACAAAATCGATGAATTTGATCGTGATGGACATCGTCTGAAGACAGGTTTATTGGTTGTACACTCATACTATGCAATGCTATTCTCGGCCCCGATAGCTCGTTGTATTTCCACTCCTCCAGTCAGTCAAGCTCATTCACTATTCACATCACACACTTCTGTATGAGTGTGGACTGCAGGAGTTGTGTGTGATGGAGGCCTCGATGATCACGTTCGCGATCCCACACCAATTGTCTTCGACTTATTTTTTTCGGACATTCTTGCGGGTTCGGATTTGATTTGATTTGTTTTCCTTTTAAAACTCTCGGAGTAAATGTTAATAACTTTGACTGATTTGTTCTCAGTAAACTGAACTTGTAACCGGGTGTTTTTTTATTAAATTGAGTGATTATATATTGCTGGCTTTGGTATGTGGATGTGTTACACTGTTAAATGCTTCCAAGTTAGTATTTTTCCCGTTCCGTAGGTTGTGGGGTATGAATCACTTGTTAGCAAAGAAAGATAAGTGAGAACTAGTGTCCACCGTCATGTTTATGCGAACTATCACGGGGACTCAGTTTGCTTCATTGTTTCATATGGTTTCATGGATGCTTATGTGGTGAATATCACCATGATTCATCAAATGTAAGCTAGAAAACTTTATTCCGGGCGTACATACAACGTGAAATAGTGCAAATTTTCAAATAAGAAACACTCTGATGGCAAGGAAGGACCGCGGTATTCCAGTCAACATTTTCGTCGAACGTCCCTTGGGAAGGAAGTTGTGTGAAAACGTGATCAGTGGAAGGTCTGAGTATAAATTGAACAAAATGAAGTTTCTTGGAATTGGGTGTTACGATCGGAGTACAACCCCAGTATACGCAACCTTTCGACATAAGCATTGCAGTGCATCATGATTTGTCCGTCCATTTTGTGTCTACATCTTTCCTCCTATTATTACTACCATTGCATTGCACCATGCTTGTTCACCAGTAGAACGTGAGGGTATACAATGTTACAGTACACACTACTTAACGATCGATTTTTGTGTCCAGGATTTGGAGTTGAGCCGTGGAAAACAGGTTGCATCTGAAACCGATTCCGAGGTATCAGATCTTCCACGGCTGTGCCTTGAAGCGGAATGAGGTTCTAATATCACACACACACACACACACACACACACACAACTTGTTAACTGAAAGTGGCCACCAATCACAAAGCCAGATATATTGGAGAAGACATTCAAATGACCCCATGCACAAAAAGATATCAGATGTCAGAACCAACTTGCGGTCCACCAGGTCACGGATAAACAATCGTGAAGCAACACATATGAAAATGGGCTATTAGCACATGATTGTGTCACTATACTCCGCATATGATAATATTGATAGAACCGGAACAGGTGCATAGATTTCGTTACAAACAGACTGTGGTAATCCGTTCAGCATATTGAGATGCGGAACAAGAAACCGTGACACGAACAGACGATGTGATAATTGCGTAAACCAGGAAATTTTTGTAATTTTCATTAGTTACGGTTCGGAGAAATTAAGTCAGTCGAGCGACTTGATTTTTCATTTATCAATTTTGAATCGTCCATTTAGGAATGTGGTTCAAGTGTACATTATATTTCAAATTTGGCCTCTTGTTGAATAGTTTTTCTTATTCTCATTGATCATTTTAAATCTATATCACCTTAATCACCTCAATAGATCTGAATTGATTAAACAGTTTACCGGTTCGCATCAAATTTGTGAATAAAGCTGAATTTAGTCATTCTTGAAAGCATGGGCATTTAACGGAATTCTACAGGACACAAACCATGCTCGTCGCATGCATAAGCAGACGGCAACACGCTAGGCTATTCATTTGAATGAACGATCTGTGCAAACGGCGTTTTCCAGCGTCTCGCGTTTTTTTTTCTTGACCGGTGCGATTTCAACAGTTGAACGTGGAGTGTGACCAGAGAAACAACTGTGGCATGCTTCTGTTCCTCTTCAATTTGATTCTGTTTTCGTGTCGTTTCAGAACGATCTCTGCGTGGAAAAATATTCTACAAGGATCAGGATAAAATCTACTGTGAGGAAGATTATTTGGTGAGTGAACGAATTATGTTGGACGTTTATTCACGAGAAAAGTCACACCGATGTTGATCGCGAAAAATTGAATAAATAAATAATCTGCTGTTGATGATAATAATTACACAATATATAGTGAGGTCTTTATTTGTTTGTTGAGGACAGGAATTCACAATAACCCCTCTCGCCTATTCATGAGCTTACCGGAGCCACGGTTCTTCCAGACTTGCGGCCAAAGCGGAAGTAGCGATCGGTAAAGGAGGGTGATCAGATGTGAGCAACATTAGCCCTATCCAACTAATTCGGCCAGCCAATGATTATTTGTATCATATACACATTGGCAAATCTCCTCATTCACGTACTCTTCGTACCGAATGCGAACAGCGAAAAGCTGATACTGAAAGCTGCAGAGCATCCTCCATGCGCTGAAACCAGGGATTTCTAGGGGAAAATATAATATTTGGAACTGTGGCCTCGTGCGCCCATTTATTAGAGAAAAGCGGAAGATGCGGTGAGGCAAATAAATATATTTTTATTTATTGAGTAGACACTTGGACAGTCAACCATCAGGAGGAGGACCGCTGCCCTACAAAGGATTGGCTGAGAAAATAGAGAAATGGGGAAAATGGAAATGGTTTCAGGATTAGAACATCGGGCATGCGGGTCACTACCCTGGAGCCCTTAACGATTGGATCACAATCGACTGGGTGCCTCAGGTTGAAGAGCACCATTGCTAATCGTGATGTGATCTAGTCTCCTTTTATTGAACTTGCATAAGTACGATTTATTTTCAGGAATGACTTTTACCTCTTATAATCAAAAAAACAATTAAGTGGTAAAAGTTTGCTTTGATATTTCTTAAACTCTCAGCTGCACGTGAATGAAACGAACATGTCACTTTATTGTGATCAATATCAGTCATTTACTGCTTATTGTGCTTAGTGTGCTCAATATGGATTCGCAATGAGGATTCAACCCAATCAAATCGAAACGGTTGGCTTTTCACTTCACCTATCGTTTGGTTTATATATGACTAAATTCACTATGTAATTGAATCGATCCCGCACCAAATATTGTGCAGTTCGCTTTCATCCTCAATGAGTTGCAACAGTTTAGACGATGGTCGATTTTGCAGAATGATGTCTTACTATATCAGGCTCGTTTTGAGGTGAGCTCGGTGCGATGTCCCCCTCTTCGTTTGCATGGGGAGATTCGTTATATGGTTATTTTATCTTGTTCAGTTCAGTTCAGTATGCACAGGACGAAATGTGGCTTGAAGCCAATTGAGCATCAAGATTGTTGTGTTGTTGGCGCGTATTTGTAGCTTCCAACAATGCGTACAGTCGATTCCAGCGATCGACTGTGACGTTTCTTCTTTGTTGGTGGGTCAAATTGTCTCAGTCCTCACTGGACGTTCCCGGCTGGGGTGCTTTTAAAAATAGACAGACAGTGGTCTAGGCCTGGGTCAAGCCGCTATAGGCTACTGTTTAGTGTGAAAGATCCCGATCGTGACCATGGAAGCCTGGAGGAATTAACATAAAATCTTGGGACTTGGCGGATTCATAGAAATTACCTGACAGAAAACATTTATCTCCAGCATACATCCACATCTGTAAACCTAAAACCTTACCGGCTAGGGTGCGTGAGTGTTTTCTTAGCCCCTTACTCCTCAGTAGACCGCTTGTGGGTAGTAGGAAAGAGACCGATAAGTGAATAATTCATTGCTTGTCACACACAACCCACTGAACCGCTTGGGAAGCCACTTAATTTTCTAGGAATCATGATCTATAGTGTTGTGCATCCCCCACGAATCTGTGTGAGTTTGAAGCCCGGTATATTCATGAATGTGAGTCCTACACCGTCTAAGATTACTTTGATTGTCCTTCAGTGTTTACGCGTTATTTATTCTGTCCGGGTTTGACTCACCAGAAGCACAATGAATAGGCGCTGCTACTGTAACAAGCAAATAGCCGTATAACGCTTAAGGGGAATAACTTTTTCCGTTCATAAGAGGTGGAAAAATTTGAGATGACGGACAAAGAGCGCTGAACAGCTGTTTCGTCCTGTTTGGGACTCGTCGGCAGTGCATAATTTTCGTGTTACTGTCAGGATTCGAACCGCGTACATTCGGATCCTGACTTCAGGCCCTTATCCCAAGACTATCATAAGTGAGTAGTGGAGAATTTGATTCAATTTCAAAGGTGAATTCGTCGCAAATGAAGCGAAAAATGAAAATCTAGGAAGCACTGGACAGCTGTTCTGACCCGTTTGAGTCTCATCAGCAGTGCGAATCCATCGACCCAACTGGAGATCGAACCCCAACCAGGTCGGGACAGGTGTCCAGTGATTCCTAGCTTTTCAGTTCATACTTCATTTGCTATATACACCACGAATTCACCTTTGAAACCATCATAAGTATCTGGTGCCTGTGTACAGTTTAATGAATTATTCCAAATTTACTACTCTTAAAATTTTCGTTGTTCTTGACGTAATTATCACACCGATTTCCTATTTCCTGCCTCCTTAAAAGCAGTTTTATAACTGACATTTTACCCTAGTGAGCGTTTAAAATTGTGATTAAAAAGAATACCTACCTACGTACACAAAGTATTTTCGTCTCATTCGGAACACAAATTTCATCGGTCTAATTGGGTGGTAGCACGTGTTTGGTATCTTGTACTAAGACGCTTCGTTGAATACATGTCTTAACTAAATCATAGACTTGAAACATGTTCAGAATGTCCTATCGTTTGAACTCCTCAAAAAAAGGAGTTTAAGATAAGTCCATGAATTGTAACCCCTACTTGTACCTAGTCGGGATGTCTGATTAATACTCTGTCATACGGGCAGATGACGAACGTAAACGCCTACACTGTTTGAACGTCATAGATATGAACAAACTTCTGACTCCACCCGATTTCCGTTTGGTTACCCAATATACATTTATTGTTAGAGATCGTGAGGTTATCGGGTTCCTGTGGTTCGAATTGCACCTAAAAGGGACTTGTTGTGTTTGTGTTATCGACCAGTTGCTTAGAGACCGAACAAGCAAGCTACTGACCGCGATAACCGGAAAACTTTGGGATAGAACGCGCGAGGACACTAACCGAATCGTGAAAGTGTTCGACACACTCTCTTTGGTTGAGTCAGTGTGTGACCAAAACTGAGAGTTACTTGCACACACTGGCTATAACGTCACAGTTTCGTGTAACGCAACAGTGGTTGGTATTGGATGGGTGTGCGAGAGCTGGAGAGAGTCGAATATGGTTCCGGAGGAATAGTAATTAGTGCAAATTATCAGCATTTGTTCATTTGTGCCCCGCTCATCTGTTGGTCTATTTTCTTTGAATCACCTATCAATTTCGAAAGGCAAACATCCCAGTTGATGACTTACTCCACTGCAAACTCCCTCCCCTTTTTTTCTCTATTTCGTCGCAGTATTGTGGCTTCCAACAAACAGCTGAAAAATGTTCCGTGTGCGGGCATTTGATATCCGAAACGGTAAGTCAGGTTATTCTCAGAATGGTGTTGTGTGTGTGTGTGAAGCATGATCGAGTACCACTTGAATTGAACAGTTGTTCAAATGTGCTGATTTGTAAACAGGAGATCCGTTTCACGTATACTGTTCCTCTTAAGCTTTCCCGAAAACCACCTAAAGCTCTTCTTAGGCATGCAACTAATTATTAGTTTCTCGTTCTGCTAGTAAAGCGCCAAAAGGGTGAGCTCGTAAACCTCGTAAAGCGGTCGGTGGTGGCCCGGTGGTAATGTTACCAAATTTTCACCCCGAGGATGTGTTCGAATCCCAGTATCACCGCTTGACTTCCCCCATTATGTGTTGAATGGCAGCCCTTTAATTGGCCGTTTTCCCCTTTCTGAAAATTGTATCTTTGTATATTCAATAAAAGGAAGTAAAATGAAAAAAAGAAAGCTTAAGTGGACACCACTGCTCCCGGGTTTGAAACCCAAAACGCTTTTAAATTCTAACGAGCCAATTTAAAAAACGTGCAATGTTTTTTTCAAGGCTTTTTCAGAGATGAGGAATGAGCATGTACGCAATTCAGACTCAAGTGCACACATCGGTGTCCACAGGGGAAACGTGATGAAACCATTCTTAGACCGGAAATTTCGGATAATTATATGATTACTAAAACCACCACTTTTGTATATCTCTCTGAAGGCTCTCAATTCGAAATCGCCTGAAAAAAATGAAATAAGTCATGCAATAAAATTAAATTGTCAGAATCGATTTTGGTCTATCACACCCTCTAACTCATCAATAACTGGCAACAATTTACCGCTCTTTATTCCCACGTCGGATGGCTTCTCGGTACAGCTTAAAGGTAAATATCGATAGCAATCTATGCCATTTCGATGGTGTAGAATTCTCGATAACAGATGATCTTGTTCCTTCCGGCTGAGCAGAATCCCTCCCGCTCCGATTATGATGGTCTCTCGTTACCGATCCCCGTTTCCCGGTAGTTAATCTGAATAGTAGTAGCCATCTTCCGCGAACCACTTTGAGGGTTAGGCAAATCATGTGAAATGAGTGGGAATTAGTTTGGTTTCGAAGTCAGACAGCGCTTTTACGTGTGCGTGTGTGTGTGTATGTGCAATCAGGGGCTATAATTTGGGGAATTCCTGCTGTGAATTTTCCGCTTGTCAGTACTATTCCTTGTGCTGTTAATCTTAATTTAAAATTGATGTGCAACTCATCAAACTCAATCAGACAAGATATCTAGATCGGGTTGATCATATTAGTGAACTAAGCAGTCATCATCTAGTTCCGCTTTGTCCTCTCTGTAATCAGCTGATTAACCGCAGTTCACCTCGAGTGAGAATCAATTCAAATCAAATATAAATGACCTGAATACACCCGTGGGGGAAAATGTTTTTAATGAATCCGATAGAAACAGAAAACTAAAGAACCCTTAACGGTTCTCAAAAGCAATACACCTATAGAATAATTGATCCATGAAATCTGCATTGACAGGGGATCCAGTTTGATAAAAGCGAACAAGTTAGGAGCAGATGCTTGCGATTCCAGTGAACGTGCAGACCCAAACTCAAATAGGGAACTAGCAGAACTAGCCATGCATTTATGTAGAGTAGTATGAAGGCAGTGATCTTCATTGTACATTACACTATCTGTTAATCTATTGCAGCCACGAATTGGCTTGTTAATAATGAATTAACCTAACAGAATTTTGGGTATATCATTGCAGCGAGAAAGGAGTACGATGGACATGTGATGTGTCCCAGATTAAGTAGGTAGATAAACACACAGTGAATTAAGCAACACGTTTATTGTAGACGGCAAACATGTAGCCGTTTCATAGATCGCGGGGCAAGGAGAAACGAATAACAGGTAGGAAAGCAGGCAGGCAGATCGACTCAGGCTCACACGTCACACAACGCCCGAATGCCGTCAAGCCGGCATTCAAACAATCAGGAAGTCAATCAATCGATCAACCGATCAATCAATCTGTCCACAGGCATGTATGACAAACGTTTTAGTCCGTTGTAGGCCACAACAACATGTAAGACTAAATGGAGGTTGTTCTTTTGACACAAGGAAAACGCATGGGAGAAATATGGTCGATACGAAAGAATGCATGTGGCATGTAAAACATTCCTAACAGCTTTCGGCCATATTATTTAACAACGGCAGTTTGGAGAATGTTTGGGTCTCCGAAAGAATCATATATTCACTGAATGAAGTTGAAATATTACTATAGTGATTGTGATTTCTTATGTTAACTTACTCGCGTACTTGACGATCAGTTGAAGAAATGAAAAAAACCCTAACAAACCACCGCTAGCATCTCAGTTGTCCAAACGGAATGGGCCAACCGAGGACAGAGAATAGCAGTGTGGGTCATCAGTACAAGAGTAATATTTATGGTTAAAATATGTCCGCCTACATCCAGCGTAACATGAAGACTCTGTGGCCAATTTAAACTTTCTACAAAACTCATAGTGCTCGACCTTGACCGGGTAGCACGAATAAACAATCTCCTCGTTGAAAAACCACTCAAATTTATGCGGTGATTTTCATAAATTAATTAAGAATGCAGTTTGTATTTTTTTCACTACCATCAAACCCTGTAATATAATCCCTAACAGAAACCTCGTTTAAGGAAATCTATGTCTATACGGTAATTGGTGACCAAACAGGTATACTACAGAAATAATTTCAATATATACATCGCACGGGAACTCAGTCACCCATGTTTATCAATGCTAAAAATCGATGAATGCTTGTGGTAAAATCAAAAAGTCTGGCTTAGATGAGAACCAACAATGTACAGGCCTTAAAATTCCGTGATTTCTAAATCCTAAATGACGATGATAATGGATACGGGAAAGCCCGATGTTAGTTGGTTTGCGGATAAATTCATTTCACCCCACATTGTTTACATGGAAATCACAAATGTAAATTAATATAAAAATTGGAGCCTAAAGAGCATACCATGCATAATGTCTGCATGGCCAATTAAATCCCGGCTAAGTTTTCCATAATTAGAACTGGAATTGATCGATGCGTTTAAAATCCAGCACCGCGACGTTCGTTCTGTTTAATCTTCTGTTAGGGCTGGATTGATTGATTTTTCTTTCCGATGGCGGAGTGCAATTAGACAGGAGGGCGTAAAAATGGAATTGATTCCCTCGGGGTTAAATTGTTTTATCCAGGTTTTGAATTTCAAGGGATAGCAATGTGTCAATGAAGTTTTGAATTTAAAGAAGAGTGAATTACGGATAATTTATTCCAAACAAACAAACGCAAAATCGGATCAGAGTCCAAATGGCTTTGGAGGAAGAGATAAAGAGAACAATTTGAATTTGTTTACATTTCGGATACATCATTACGAATGTGTATTGATATGCACGGTAAGAAATTGAATAAGCGTACCAGCGCAATAGTACAATGAAAGGTAAAACAAATTTCTCTACTTAGTTTTTAAAATATCCTTGTGTTACAGTTAATCAAGGTGAACATCTTTTTTCGTAGGTGACATATCCACAGGAAAGTATTCTGTTCATTTCTTCTGGATAGGGTAATGACAGCTAGTTCTTTTCCAGTTTGGAGGTGGTTGGAATAAAATGGTCCACGTAGCTATCACTAACATGGTTCGGACCCCAACGTTTGGGAGTGAAACACGACCACCGCCCTCACGCAGTTATGGTGATAATCGGCTTTGCTGTTTTCCCGCTCAATACCGCGCGTATCCTTTTGGGACCGTGTCTAGCCACTCCAGGTCCGGGAACTAGGATTGTCGATGACCATAGGCTGTGATTAGGAAAGCCCATCTGGGTACGATTTTTGCTATTGTTGTTTAAAGAAAAGGATTATATTATATATAACTTTCTTTATTAAGAATTAGTCGAATAAACGATTCTAAAGGGAGTCACTGTGTTCACTTGATTTGTCACACGCCAGACAAAAAGGTTTTTGAAACCCTGTATATCTGTCTCATCAAGTTTGTTGGAGATGATGAGCAATACCTACAAATCGAATACAGAATAGTTGAAATCTGTCGTTTTTTTGAGTCCCACTCGTTACTACAAGATCATCCAACCTGACCTCCAGCGGTTTGTTTTGCTTTGACACTCAAGGATACGATAGCGATTCATCTGCAACACATCAGGCGTGGACTACCTTCATTGAGACAGTAAGATTAACTCCCTACTGCGCTCTTCCTCCGCAGTGACCCTCTCAGATTACGTAGGCAACATGAAGCGTACAAATGCATGTGCACTGCAATTCACCCGTACTACACATTCAATACATCTAAAGTGTATGGTAAATCCATTTATATAGGGGTGCTAAATTTCACTTATTTACCAGAAGCTGATCGGCTTCAATTGAGGCCTGAGTGATTGCGTTCATCTTTCCATCCGCGCGTGCATCCGACTAGACGTTTCGCGGCCATAAACAATCTCATGCAACTTGATCTGTGCTGTGGTGCGTCCCTTTGGCTAATAATACTTCGCTTGGTTTTGAAAATCTGTGGATTGAAAATGCACAGCTTTTATTAGCGTACATTATTCTCAAAGAGTTCAAAATAAAACTATTGATTGCGAGGGCACTAAATCTTTCGGTCGATTGGGATGCACCATGCTGTCATGTTTATTACGGAACAAACCTTGACAGAAACATTCTCATTATTAAGCAACCTGATTTGATCCGTCGATCATCTTCTTCTTATCTGCTTGATAGATTTTACAAGCCATGGGCAATTCCTATCATCCGGGCTGTTTTCGATGCTGCATCTGCACTAAATGCCTGGATGGAGTCCCGTTCACTGTTGATACGAACAAATTGATCTACTGTTTACCCGACTATCATTTGGTTCATGCTCCCCGATGTGGTGCCTGTGGATTGATTATCATGCCAGAAGAGGTGAGTGTTCATCCTTGTGGTTGATCAGTCCTTCAGAAGTTTTTTTGGATCAAATCTCTCGTGTTGGTTTCTCTCCATTCTTCTGTTTGATCGAAATTATTACGAAAACCACAAATTGCTGCTCTCACTGATAGACCAGTAGATAAAGCATTACAATATATCATACCTTATACCGCAAGCTAAGAAGTAAGTTCATCTCCATGGCTAGTATGGTCAGTAAACTAGTAAGATTGTATACATTCAAAGAATTTACGATTCTGCAATCGGTTAGGTACTTGCACAATCTTTGAGAGCAAACATCTACTGAACGAACACGGATCATGAATAAATGGATGAGTGATCCGCGTATCAATCCAGGAATTAGGAGGATGACCTACCCCATATCTAACACTGGCTATTTATTTCCGTCCGAATGAACGGGACCATCACCAGCTTCTTTCATAATGAACATTAATTTTCACCGGCACTCTATACTGGTCTGTTCCCCCCCTCTTCCCGTCATATTCAAGACTAGTTTTCATCAACAGGTGAGATCGTCAAAAAGGGATCTGGCTGTCTTGAATCCGAATGCCGCCTCTAGCACCGATCTTCCATATGACAGGTCCTCTCTTTCGGCAAACTCGACTGTTAATTTGTATACTCAATAAATAAAAAAGGAAATCAAAGCATTTTTCTAATCCTCTCCTAAACAGAATGCTATTCGAACTTGGATTTGAACTGAGAGCCCACTGCTCTCTAATCGCTGCTGGTATGCTCTACTTGTTAGCTTTCCAACACTCAACCAATCAGACTGCGTGCGCTTGACTTTATCCGATTAGTCAGTCTCCACGTGTCCAGGTTGACCACCTTGAAACTTTATCGGTGTGCATTCATGATGCCATCCGATATCACCACAGGAGCACCACAGCCTCAATTCCGACTTCTTTGATGATGACATTCTGACTTCTTTTATTCTTCTCCTGATTCTTCCCTCGACACCGTCGATAATGACAGGAACTCCTCCAGTACCTGTCTTATTTAGCTATTTTCTTTTATCAGCTTGACGCTCGTGATCTATCTGGTAATAATTATTGCTCTCTTGTAATCGTGAATACTTACTGGGAATTCTGTTACCAGCATTATTTTCTACTCAGACGTTCTCTGTTTTACTGGTCCAAGGGACGCACTGAAGCTACTCTTTTATCGCCGTTCATACTGCACTTGAGACCAGATCCTAAATCCATCAATAAGCACTCCTCATGATTCCATAGAAGTACTTTACTCAGGTGAATATTCGTCGAGTTTTTAATCTCTTTTCGATTAAATTTACCGCAATGCTATAAGGCTCCTCAGGAACCCATCGTGAACTGTCACTGGTGAGGGACTCACTGATCACTCGCATCCTCTGTTTCCCTCATTTCGACCGCACTCGCAGTTTGGTTTTGAAATTTTATTCAACTGAGCCTGTGCATCCTGTCTCTCCTTCATGAAATTATTCCTTCCTCTAAACTCCAACGTACATACAATCAATCCTCTACTCCAAATTAAGTTCCCAAGTGCTGAGGATCACAAAACTGTCCCGAGCAACTCCCCTATTGTTCTCCTACCCCAATCACATCATGTCCATCCAGCTGCTAGTACGAACTCTTTAAGTTCGTTTCACCTTGAGCTTGTTGATGACCTAGCACACTTACAGCAGGTCATTTTCTGTGTCTACTGACGAAACGTTTTCAAAAGAAAAGGTCATACTGCACTGTTTATGTCCAGGACGTTTTCGCTGCATCTGAACATGATGCATACAGCAAAAAACGCCATGTTTATACATGGCTTTAGCATAACGAAATGGTCAACGAAAAACGCGATAAAATGGACAAACCTAAAAAACGGAGAGGATATGACAACAGATGGGCCATTTCATCATGCTAGGGACATGAGTTGTGGTTTATTGCGTTGCGATTTTTTCTTTTGAAATTGATATCAGGAACGGCTTGAGTATTGACGGTATCAGTTGCTTTGAGTAAGCTTTTGGTCCCTTTTCAATGGTTTAATCAGCACGGTGTTGTAGTTAAATAATTATTTTCCAAATTTGAGAAGCATTTTACTGTTGCAAGCTTATGCGGTCAAGAGTTTTACAACATAAAAAACACTAAATGTGAGCTATACTGCCCCGTGTATGCACAATGTTAGTGATCGAAAACGTACATTTCTGAACTATGATCGACCAGATAATGAGTTCACTCATTGATCGTTGCCAAGAGAAACGAGAACGCCTGCATGCATAATAGTTAAGTTTCATGGTCCTAACGATAACCCCCATTTCGCTTATGCCCGTTGTATCCGTTCAGTGGTCACAAAAATAGCATTCCCAAAAGAACCCATTGAGATTCCCGGATATCAGAAACACGGGAGCACTATTATCGTGAGAGGTGTTTTCAACTCTGAACATGATGATAATGATGAGTGACGTAAACTCAGACAGGAGTACGGGAATCGGCCCAAAGCTTGATTCGCAATTCCTCGGTTTTCTCCGGTGATCTATCTGTTATCAGTGCACTGGCTTGTCTCGACAGCCGATCCCCAACTGATTGCCCCTGATTACACTTTTCATCCCTACATGAATTCCTTAAGCAGTGATTCAGAACAAAGCTGAAGGAGTGTAGAAACTTATTTATGGTACAAAAATCGAAATTATATTCATGGAAGGGCAAAGACCTAGAAATGCATACATAAAACGGTTGAATGACTGACGGTTTCAACCGGTTGCTTGAGTTCGACTTTCCTGAACAAAAAGCATTTTTAGGGAATGCATTTGTTATATTCCAAAAAGGCGGTGCTGGTCGAGGAGAGTTCTTCATTGCAGAATACAGATTGAAGGTCACTAATTTTGCATGCATAACACGAAAAGTTCATCAGAAACATGCCTTCGCAGCACATCGCGACACATGGGGCAATGGGTATAGTAGGCAGTGTTTATTCTTCCCAAATATATTACTTGGTCCTTGATGGTCTTGTTCTATTTTTAATCATTGAAAGTTACCGACTACTCACAAGTGAGTAGTATCTCACAACACATCGACTCCCTCATATTATCAGTGCATGCATATACTTGGACAAATGCCTACCAAGTAGACTGAGACGATGTCGTGTTTAGCTCTTGAATGATTATACGGGCTAGAATCTCTTACGCCGACCAGTGAATGGCACTCAGCTCCTTAATTTGATAACGATTTCGTTCATTTGTTCGCTTTTATGTTTTGTAATATCAACGAAAACCATCGATTTTCTCAATTTTTATCTCGATAAAGGGCTCCGACGAAATAGTCCGCGTTGTTGCACTGGACAAAGAATTCCATCTCTCGTGCTACTGCTGTTCGGTAAGTGATTACGGCCAAATCACAAAACCCACTTTGATCGGTTATTTGAATTTTCATCTGTCAGTAACAACTAGAAACCAGTGACGATATTCGGTAATTGAGCAACCAGCTACTGAACCGTGTGCGTTTGTGTGCTCGACGTGAGACTAGAAAACTTTTTAAAGATTTCCTGAAGGAAACGTTTACCACGGTGAACGAGCTCAGATTCTCTGATGAGCTCAAATCAATTTTGGGGTTGTGGAACTTAGGTGATCACTTCAAAACGAGTTCACCTGATTACTGGATCTATTCTTATCACACAAGAGAATGAAGTATCGTTTTGGGATTTCAACCGATCCTTTCCGAAATGGGAAACTTAGCACACAAACTTATCTTCGTCTCCAAGGCGATGCGAACGATGCGAACGATGCGATGCGAACGTACTTCTGGCCCTGGCAGCACAGCAGAGTAAACAGAGGTGCGCGACAGGATGTCTCTCAGCACGAGGTCTCGAAGCTGGAGACGATACGAGGCTTTGCGGACAACGATGACAGCGGGAAATGGCAATAGGCAGGTGGGACACGGAGCGCCAAGGAAACCCTGGCGGACAGCTCTTTCGTTTATCGGGGTTAGAGGTAAACCTGAAAGGCAAAGCAAACAAAACGCCACGAACCGAAAAGGTCCAGTGAGATACAATCATTTACGGTAAAATACTACTGGCCCCATTGCCAGGCGTTAGACAACTATTATCCATTAGGATCATCCGTACTGTTGCGTCAACCTCAAATCTCGTTGCTCAACCTAGCCATTTGCGCATCGAGGCCTGTTATTCGTGCCTATTTGTTCGAGTCGACCGTTATACAGTGGTGACAACAACCGAACGGTGTAAAATGCGGCCCCATAAGGTAATCCGTTTTATAATAGGTTAACTACTAACAGGACATAATGCTCTTCGTCACTAAACGGGTAACATCATTGAAACAAATATGATGCGTGGCAGCATAGATAGCTCGAAAATGTTTGAAAGCTTGTTTATTGAGTGACCATGAGTGCATTGCTCACTCACGCGACTACATCCAAAGTTTGATGAGCTTCAAGTGTGATATTTTGTCGATAGAATCACGTTTTCCGAACCAATGATGTAGACAACTTAACCAGATCATTCAAAGAGAATCTACATTACTCAAATTATTGTTTTGCAGATAGGAGTATTATGCTGAAATTGTACCACTTTTTGTAGCCTTGACGGGATTCAAACCCAGGTATGGACGCCGCAAGGCTACTGAACTTTTCACAAGTTCAACATAAATTACCCTCATTACTAATCTGTTCCATTCTATTTACCACCCCCTATACCGATTAGGATTGTAAACGAAAACTGGGAGATGAACCGGAAAATCGGTGCTACCCGATGACTGAACCGGATTCACAAGCACCCGATCGCACAGTTCAACGATTACTTTGTCTCAATTGTCACCTGTCCCGAATTGGAGCGGTCCCCGCCACCGTTGCTAACGTTACCAGTAGCACAACCACGAAACCGTCAAGTGCACAGAACAGTCAGTCTGGCGGCTCGCAACTCCGATTCTACCCCCTGTCGTCCAAGTTGACTAAAACCTCCTGACAAGAGTGTGTGCATCGACTCCAGCGAGTCCGAGCATCCGCTGTGCCTGTATCGACAACCGTGCGCCGTGATTAGTTTGTTTCAATGACTGTTCTTGAACTGCTACTTGCCTATCTATATGTATAGCTCCTATTCTCTTTACATGCTTTTCGCGATTGCTCGACCCCAGACTGTGAGATTTGAGAAGCGCTGTTTTTTTACTTCTCCGTTGTTTTTGATCCTTGTACATGTGACCGTGAGCGTACAATTGCTTATTTCTTCTTGCTTACTCTTTTTTATTTCACCAAACGCCATTTCTACCTCAATCGTTTCTTTGGTTGTGAAGAGTGACTCAAAAGCCGATAAAGTACCCTCAACAGCTGTTTGGGCGTGTTAACCATGTCTGCATGGTGTTCTTGTCCAAGAATGGGGATCTGAGAGTGATCAATTACCGTCATGTCACACCCTATGGGTGCGAAACATGTGGGTGTGGGTGAAGCATATTGGTTGCGGCGACCCGAATCAACGCTGGGACGCAAGCGCTTAAGAACCATTATCCCGGTAATTGGGCATACCAAACTCCTTTTAGAGATGTATGGCATGAAACAGGACATTACTTATCCGGATCTGCATGGCTATAAATCCGACTTGACCAACGAAACCCTTTGTTTAAAACCTGCAAGTGTGAAGTTCCCTCCCCTTCTACGGAACACAATAAGGAAAATGGGTGCAAAAAACAAACAAACAAACGAATCATGAATCAATTGGTTGATCGAAAAGAGCCCGATGAATCGTGATGTGATACTTTCCGGATGGCACACCTGTTACTGACTGCTTTTTTCGGTGAATAAAGAAAGAGAATGAATGATCTGAAACGGTCAGCCCAAAGGCCTGACGTGAGCAAACAGACCGGACGCTGACTGCTTTATATTGGTCCCTATGAGAAATAACTTTCCGACAATTCTCCTTACACCAGTCTTGGATTTGCTCTGAAAAATTTATAATGAACTTCACTATTGGATGCGACAGTGATTATTTTATGCAAAATATCCGACTGTAACGCGAGTGATCGTTTTTACATTTCATTCAACTTGTCCCCGAGACAGCAAATCTATCCCATAAAACTTCAATTACGGTAAAAGTTGTATGAACTTTAGTTGTTAGAACCATGGATGTTCGCCGGTTTTCTCGCAGAAAACTTTACTGGTTGGAATTTGATTAAAGTGACTAAATGCAGCAGGGTTCCCCTGTTTATTTCATGGAAAACGGGAATCTTCGAGCCTTTGAACTTTATTGCGCGCGTCAGGAATCACAAACAAAGTGTTTCTCAGAATCCACTGATATCCGAACCCTAGTGTGGCGAACGGTGTGTTTGAATACTATTCGACCATCACTGCGTTTGCATTTGCCCTCGAGGTTTATTCCGTTCTATAAGTAGGTCCATTACGTGATTCAAATTTTATAAAATGATCTACGGTCATCTATCCCGTTTTGGGCAATAGACTACGATACAAAATCCAGGGAAGATCGATCGAAAGTATAAGTTAGAGAGTAGGACGATGGTGTTGTTGTTTTAAGTCACGAGCATCGTTTAGGTGACCTTCATCCCTGCACTTATTCTGACGTAGTAATTAAAGACTGCTTAAACAGGCCTTGAAATCGATCGCAAAATTTCAGTCAATTTTCTATTAGCGATTCTGTATGTCTATACTTCTAATGTTCAACTGAGGAGAGTATTATTTCAGAAATGAAAAAAGACCGGAGGACCCTGAAGAACAAGTCCAGTTTGAAATCACATACTGATGATGTATCATGAACTCACCAAGAATGGTGCTCAACTGGTGTCCGTCGTCTCCTCAATGGGGTACCAACTTCCTTAAGATGACCAGGATAGGCTGTGAACGTCTTAATAGCTAACACCTAGTGTTTAGTTTTTGTAATCGGAAATCTAAGTTTAGCGTTGCTGTGTGAAAAAATAGAGGAAATTGCAGTAAGCTGGTAACTTTGCTTTGTATCAGTGACTATCGTAACGGTAAGCACGCAGTTACATCCATCAACATGTATGTAAGCAAAGCAAAACGGGCCAACAACAACCACAAGGATTGCATGCAATCAGCGTTCGGACGAGCCGAATGGTCCAGTGAGCAAGGAATTAATCATAGCAGGTAGTTCAACCTTGAACCATGTTGGGCTGAAGCAGATCGATCCAATGGTAGTGCACGTCTGCGTGAAGGGCCTGCGTGTGTGCGTAAGTACGTGCGTGGTAGCAGGCCCATTCGGTCAATCATGCGGTGATTATCTTTGTCATATTGAGGCGATAACGAAAAAATGTATGGAGCACGCGTGTTGGAAACGGATGTGATCGCGCTGTCCCAGTTCAGTAGACATACCGCGAACCGCTCCTTGTACTCCACAGCGCATCTCTCCATGGTAAGAGCCTTTCGCTGATGCCAAATGGTGATAAAGATTACTATGGAATAATTGCAGTGTGAACAAAATACAAGAGATTTTATTATTTGGATTTTTATTTACTTTCAGAAAGGAAAGTGCAACACGTATCAACAATTAGGTGAATCAATGTTATCACCGTCAGCCCAATAATCGCAAACCAATCAACCTGCGAGCTCATCGCTGACCGATCCTCCTACGCATTCCGTTTGGTAAGATAATTTTGGAACTCAGACAGAACGATTCAGATCAGAGGCATTCGTTACTAATTTAAGCAGTTTTACGACCATTGATGGTAAACGGTAAGAAAAATATGTGGATTTGATATGCTGCCTCCATTTTTTTCCTTTCAATTTACCAACGTCGACGCTTCCCATTGAAATTATTTTTGTAATACGAAATCGACAGCATTTCTCCACCATTCGTCAATCGATGAATCACCGTCAGTCAATTTACTTGTGGGAAATAATCATCATTTGAACTTGGGTTACCATTATTTAATCAACTAGATGTCAGCCACAATACCGGTAACCCACTAATAGGTGTATTTCTGATATTAAAGGATCTTTAAGGACGATATCAGGTATTCCCATTATTGAGCTTAATTTAAAACTTATCAGCAAGGCTTAAAACCTAAAAGGAACTTTGCATCATGTCGAAGTTTCTACTCGATCAGTTATGTATGATTGAGACGGAATGTTCCAAAAGTAGATCCCTTATACGGTCATAATGAGTCCTGCATTTTTCATAATTACATTTTATTTGAGCCAAAAATCCCGAAGAAACTTCGAATAGGCGGAAAATTAAAAGAAGTCTAAGAAAGTTGAATTTTATGTCGCATAAGTGGATCGATAAATGAAACGTTTACCTTTTTAAAATTGATTGATATATTATGTTATATTGATTCATTTGATAAAAAGGAATGAATACGCTAAAACTTCACTTATTACCGAAGTGATGCAGATGAGCACAAATGCTGCTGCTGCTACTACTACTGAGTTTATCGATTTTATTCCGATGAAATCACGAAAACTAATTAGCCATACGAATCTTAGCATTGACTATTGTAAATAAACTTTTGTTTTTTGTCCTTATAAAACCACGAGCACTCAGGCCTGTTTCGATTTCCAATGTGAAGGTTCACGAATCAAGTTCCGTTAGATACAAAAAATTTAAAAAACGCAGAATGGACGGCTTACCAGTTGTAACAAAGAAAAAACAGTTGTCCGTAATTCTGTTTGTCAGCCACTGGATACAAAACCTCTCATAAATTTTATTCACATATGGGTGCGTTCGCACGCCGATGAAAACACCGGCTATACTTGGTAATATTTACAGAAACCCCTTGTTGTTCACGCTGATTGTCATCATGAAATTTCATCTTGGTTTTGAGTTTTCTCGACGGACCATATCAGTATTATTGTCTATCGAAATTCCCACTGTTCCACAAACTTACTGCGAAGTTTTTATACTTTGACTTTCTTTGGTCCTTTAATTATGACATTGGGAAAAGTTTGCTTTCCTTCTTTAAGATAGGGGCATTTCGCGGAATCAACAACTCAGATACCAATGGAAAGCATTGAATTCAATGTAGAGCTTTTTCACTTTGTTAGGAATTAGCAACAGAGTATAATAACCACCGATTTCACATGGATTCGAACCCCCCCCCCCCAAAAACCGACGGGGTTAATACCCCGTGTAATATCTTTGAACTATTCATACTGGATTTCAACAGATTCTTTCCGATAGTTGTGTACAAAAAACTAACTGTGCAGTATACAGTGGACAATCTTCTGTACTATTCGTAACTCTATCGATGCGCAACGTAATAATGGATATCCTTTTTATCACAGTGGAGAATATCACATGCTGCCAGTATCCATTCATTGAACTATTGCCTGTCTGTGCCACCATGGGTGTCTGCTTGTGTTCACTTAGACACAAACCACACACCGTGGACTATCTTTGTTCTCCTCTCCCCCTCCCCACACACTAATTACCGTTTTCTGAGTTCCTCCAGTCGGAAATGCACAAGGCTTTAAGGAAAAATATTACCAGATCAGCGTGTAAGAATATTTTGTTGGTAAAATTTCATCAACAACAACAACAGCTTGCTCCCGTCAAACCGAGGACGGCGTGGACCTTCAAAAGTCCGCTATATCCGGGCAACACATTTCCCTAATACCCACAGTATCTAACGCAATTCGAATAAACCCTATTAGTTCAGACTTTATAATTATTGTCGCCTTGCAACATACATCAGATCACTCAATGAAGCATCAAATTTCGTCCCACAACCGCTGGTCCATAGTACCAGAGCTTCTCTGCCAAAAGCTAACGGTAGCCGACCACGAAGAAGTC